TCTTTTTATAAATTTTCAAACTAAATAATTTTAAAAATGTATAAACAACTACAAAATTATACAAATGTACAAAAGTTAAATAAAATACTTTTAGACATTTTACATATTTTTTCACTGATTTTTTTCCTTTTTCCAATTTGTTTTTCCCATTTTGTTACCAATTTATGATTATGTATTATTTTCCTTTATTTAAAATTAAATTTTATGTTTTCAAAAATTAAATCATGATTAAACTTTTATTTAATTTTTTATGCGATCTTAGTTCTAAAAACCTAAATGTTTTATTTTTCCATTTTAGTATTTCTATTTTCTATATTTTATAGTATTATAGTATATAATTTATCACTTATTTTTAGTGATTTGGGGTATAGGTTTTGGAAGTTTTGACTATTTTTAATCAAAATGTATTAATATTATAATTTTAAATGATGATGAAAATTTTAAAAATGTAAAAAAATGTATTAAAACGGTAATAATAATCCCAATTATTTTGGTAGGTAGAAAAAGTGTGGACTTTTGGTAAACATTTTGGTAAACATTGTTTTATCGTCATTAGAAGCTATTGACATTTTTACATTGGTAAAAATTAAAAATACTAAAATGGAATAACTAGAAAATATAGATTTTTAGATTAAGCTAGAATAACAATCTAAATTGTAAAAATTTAAATCAAAATTTACTTTTTGAAAACAGAAAATGTAAATTTGAATAATGGAAAATAATACTAAATCATAAACTGGTATCACAACTGTGAAAAGAAAATTGGAAAAAGGAAAAAATAAAATTTTAGTAAAAATAAATTAAAAATGATAAATTTTTTTATTTAATTTCGACACATTTGTAGAATATTCGTAATTAATTTTTCATGCTTAAAAATATTTAGTTTGAAAATTTATAAAATTATTTCTATATTTTCTCAAAAATTGAGAGTTGATAGTTGGGATTAATAAAAAAAGATCAACTATAGTTGAGATTATTTAAAGTTTACACATAGTTCACATTTAAAAATAACATGTTATACGAGGCTGTAATAGGTTGGGGACCATTTTTGGAAAATGGTCCCTATAGTTGGGACCACATAGGAATAGTCAATACTTGAGATTAGGGGTGGGCATATCGGTTTTCGATTTGGGTTTTGTCGATTTCTGTTCGGTTCGGTTTGGCACGGGTTAGGAGAATTAGTACCAAACAAAAACCATACTCTGTATTATTTTTTGGTTTGGTTCCGTATGGTTTAATTCAGTTTGGCTCAGTTTGGATTTGTTATTTTTTAATAATATATGAAAGTTTTATTGAATTTCTCTAGTTTGGTTCGGTTTTGTTGATTTTATATCGGTTTCGGTTTGGTTTAATACGCTTTAGAAAAAATACTACCAAACTAAAACCAAATTGCATATGATCTGGTTTCAGTTCGATTTGGTATGGTTCAGTTCGGTTAAATCAAACAAATATGCCTACCCCTTGTTGGGATTATTAACAGCGGACCGAGAATAGTTGAGATTATTATTTTCAATTTTTCTATTTTTTAACGTTTCTCAGTTAACAAAAAATAAATTTAGTTCAAGTATAGTTCGTATATGGAATAATCAGTTATTTGTGGAGGGTTCATGAATTAAAATTTGTGTTTCGTGCTTTTTCAGACTCGAGAAAATTCCAACAGTTAAAATTTCGGATTTTTTTTCATTTTATATATTACGGTATCATATGAAAGATCATAAAAATTTAAGACTTTTCATACATTCTATGAATTTTTTTGGATAATAAATAAAAAAGTTATAAAAGTTTAAAATCATTTGGAGTAATAATGACACATGCATGATGCAAGGATAACATCATCCCCCATTACCATGCGAGCCCCGTTCTCTTCCCCTCAACTTTTGTTTTCTTTTTCTTTTTCTTTCCCCGGTCAACCCACTCTCCATTTATCCCTACATTCTCTTTCTCATTCTTAATACCCCATTTAACCTAACAATACATTAAATTAGAAGTTAAAAAATTCTATCTTTAACATTTTGAACTCCTAATACTACATCACTGCAAATAGTCTTAGGATGCGATGATAGAGCTTCATCCCCATCTGCCCCATCCATCTTATGATATATTTATGAGAGATTTATCAAAATATAGAGTTTTTTCAAAAGTATTACTAATCAGTTTAAAATGTCTTAAACAAGATTTTTTGTGATCCAATCAAAATAACCTTATAGTGCTGAAGCATTGCTACCCCAAGATTGTTGGACCCGTCAGAAAATTTTTCATTTTTTTCGCCCGCTTGCCAGAAATCCGCCACCGCCTGCCAAAGTTTGTTGCCACCGATCCACCGCCAACGGTTTGATCTTGGTTATGCAAGGGAATTAAGAGACAATTAATTAATTAAATTAGGGATATAACTTGAATGATAAGTCCTATTTAAGGAAAACCAAATATATGATCATATTTTTGGAAGAATTCTATGTTTTGGTCCTATCAAGAGCAATTTTTTTACTTAGTAATCATACATATAATGAATCTAATCCAACTACAAATACATACAAGAATATATGTTATACACTATGTAGCACCGATACAAGTACGCGGAAATGCGGAAACGGGTACAAAGATAAAACACTACTCTAATACAAAAACTAAAAGTTCTAATACAAATTTTGCACCAAAGCATCATGGATAATGTTAAAATTTATTTTTTACTTTTTCATTTTTAAGAATTTCATTATGTAAATTTTGGGTGTTTTTTTAATAAAAAAGTGGATATGTGTATCCGTTAGGATACTCGTATCCGAAATTTTAAAATACGAAGTAATCAATCAATATATATATATATATATATATATATATATATATATATATATATATATATATATATATATATATATATAAGAGGAACTTTTTAAGAGCATACAAAGCGTCATATAATCATGACAAGTCAATATATATAACAATTATTTACTTATTTTTATACCTTTTGTTTTTATTAGATTATATTTTTGATTGCATATTGATATGAAAACAAAAATCCTTATAAATCCACCTTAATTAATTTGGTAAGCTTCAAATAAGTAAAATAATTTTTGGTTATCAAAGTGAAATTCTAATAACGTTTATTGATATGGAAACTAATTTATATTAGTTTACTACACCGAATTAAATAGAAAAAAATATGCAAATTAGTTTACTTATTAATTTGACACCTATTAATAAATTAGTAAGCTTCAATTCAATATGTATATAAAAGAGGAACTTTTTAAGAGCATACAAAGCGCCACATAATTCTGCCATGACATTATATATAAAAATTATTTACTTATTTTTATACCTTTTGTTTTTATTAGATTCTATTTTTGATTGCATATTGATATGGAAACAAAAATCCTTATAAATCCACCATCATTAATTTGGCAACCTTCAAATAAGTAAAATAATTTTTGGTTATCAAAGTGAAATTCTGATAACGTTTATTGATATGGAAACTAATTTATATTAGTTTACTACACCGAATTAAATAGAAACAAATATACAAATTAGTTTACTTATTAATTTGACACCTATTAATAAATTAGTAAGCTTCAAATAAGTAAATAATTAAAAATGAAATTAAAAATTATAACCAACATAAAGTATATATATTTTCACATGTAAATATGTTTAGCTTAGCCAAATAAGTAAATATTTTTGGTTTTCTTTATTTTACACCTAAAATACAAATATGCCTTCACTTTTGAAATAGATTCCTAATCCAAATTAAAAAATCTTTATAGGTTTACGAATTCCTACTTTTATTTTAATAGAATGTTTTTAATTGTATTGATTTCAGTTCCAGATTAAATAAGATCAGATCAAACTTTAATAATTATAACAATAAGTCACATAAAAAACAGACATCTAATAGCCCATATTAATTATTACCAAATCAAACCCGAAATTTTAATTCAATTAAAAACGTTCTTATTAATGAGTAAACTGTAAGATCTAACAATTAAGAAATATAGAATTTTTTTATTATTGGGTTCATAACAATTATGTTTACTTGAGTTGGCTTATGTAGAAGACCAATTTAACATTTTTTCATATATTTTTTTCTTTGTTTCACAAATGGAATATATTTCACATGTATTTTTTATGATTCAGAAGATTCCACCTATTTAACCAGAATTCAATAAGTTTCAGTAAAATAAGTTAATTCTATTTACTTTAGTATTATCAAACAGACTCTATATTAGACTAAGTTTATTTTTCTTTTAAATCACATTATATGTGATCCGATAGAAATTAAATTTCAAATTAGCTAAATTACATACTGTCCGTGCATCACACGGGCTTGAAAACTAGTTAGAACTTAGAAAAAATGTTGAAAAATTTTAAAAATTGAAGATATGGCCCGAGAACGTTATGAATTAGGAAACTCATAAATGTATGGCGTCAAATTACCCTTACAAAGTCCAAAGATTTCCATCCAACGACACCCTAATACCTGGTGACCCGCACCAACCCAATAACTCCGTCTGTAATGACAGTTACATTTTAATCAAATACCAATTTTATTTATAGCTACATGTTTACTATGTATAGCCGTATAGGTCATTATTTCCATACTAAATGAAACTATTTTATAATTTCAATTATGCCCTTGTTACTTTATACAGGCATACAACCTTGCCTATGTAGCCGGTCATGGATGCTCCTGCACAACACATTTTAAAAGAATTCTGATGAAACCCGCACGGGTAACTCAGTTGGTCGAGTGGTGGGAGATTTGGAACAATGGACCAAGGTTCGAATCCCCGCAACGACCGGATGGATGTCACAAAACCTGAAATAAGGTTGGGCCTCTGGTGCGCACAGGTGTATGGGCCTACTACCAATATCAGTATTAGCTCGGGATCAATATCAGTATATCACCAATCAAAATGAAAACATCAAACACGAATATATCCTTATTTGGGATTGGGAATTGGGAGCAATGAATCTGCAGCAAAAATACAGCATTAAAGGCTTGTTTGGTTGGGAATCTCAGAAGGGGGAATGGGTGATTTTTTTAAACTTATTCTTACATTTATATGGTTAGAAAGAAAAGAAAGATGAATAATCAATTACAAAGACATTATTTAACAACACATATACGAGTAGCTATAGTCTAAGATTAGCAAATAAAGATAAATTAGTTGAACAAAAATATATACTGCCCTCCCACTCCAAACTCCTCAAAATAATCAAGCCTTAGGAGTGTCTAAGTGAAAATGCGTATATACCTTCTGTCATATAACAGTGAACCATCACATTTAATCTAAACAATGTATGATCGTAACGAAATCTCCCTAATGGTTCATAGATCAACAGAAGTCACTTGGCTTGCCAACTTCAATGTGTTGTGAGGCCAAATATTCTGTAATGGCGTTCTTCTGCCAGCCCTTGAAGCTCCTGCAGCCACATATATTAGTTTATGTAGAAAATCAATTTTTTTTTGCACCAAACGTTTTATGTTGAACAGGCAGAACCAAAGGATAATCAAGGCACAATTAAAATTATTGAAAAAAATATGAGTACTCTCAGGTTCATTTGGTAACACTTTCTGTTTCATTATTTCAGGACTTTGTATGTTTTTCATTGGGTTTTTCTGAGATTGTGAAGGGTGATTGATGGAGTATATGAGTCCGGACCCCATGACCCACATACTCAGAGGAATAAGAAGCACAGCTGGCACCCAGTGGGTCCTCCGTCGGCCAGATGGCCCTCCATTGGCCAGGAAGATATCAACTCAGAACATGATCCAGAAGCTAGGAGAACCGGGTGTCTCCGTCGGCCATGGCTCCATCGGCCAGACCTTCGTCGGCCACAGAGAGCTCACAAAACCGGATTCCATACTTAGTCAATTTACATACTTTGTATTCGGCCCAATAGAGGCCCCATTGTAATCGGGTCTCCCAAGCCTAAGACTTGGGAGCCCAACCCACATTTTCTCTATAAATACTCCCCTATAAATACTCCCCTTGGGAGTAGTTGTAGGGGTTGACAAATTCATTTATCGCAGTATTTATTGCACTTCTCTCTCTAGCCCTCACTTCTCTCTAAGAGGTTATACACTATCAGTGATAATTGCTCTTTGGTGGGGTTATTGGGTGATGATATTAGAGACTTGGCAAAGCTTTTTTCAAATATTTCTTTCAGTCACAATAAGCGGTCTGTTACACATTAAGATATGTCTGATACACACTCTTGGTTTCATATTCCTCCTTCATTTATTGTTTCTATTCTTGACAATGATTTAATTAATGATAATTAAGTTTTTCTCTTGCAAAAAAAAACATGTTTGTTAAGCTTGTTTGGTATTTATGATTTATATAGTTTATTTAATGCTCTATACGAAGTAATTAGTTCTTCACTTCTTAATGACATAACATGTTTCAGAAACAATGGAAACAACAAATGCATGTTTACACGTTCCAATAATTTTCAGAAGAGCTTTTTAATTTTCAAAAAAAGAAAACATATCAAGACTTAGGGTTTAATCATACAAAATACAAAGTGATATATGAATTAGCTCATAGTTTCTAGATATTTTTTTATACTTTGTAGTTGCAAAACGGGAGCCTTGGCGCACCGGTTACAGTGTTGCTATGTGACCGAGAGGTCACCCGTTTAAATTTCTTGTCAAAATAATGGAAGGCAAGCTTCATATACAACCTTATGGTAGGACTTCCGCCATGCGGGGACGCCAATGTTCACTGGGCTGCCCTCTATACTTTGTTGTTACAGGACAAACACTTCAAATGTCCTCTTAGTTCAACACGTTCAAATACCGGACCATGCCATATCAATAGTTACCATCCTAAAAAGGTCAACTCCATACATATAGAGAGTAGCCTAAGATTTTAATATTTTCTTATGGCTGACAAAACTTAACAAAACAAAAAATTACTGTCACCTTGGTTTCTTATTTCTAATTTCAGAATAGCAAAAAGGAAAACATAACACAAAAAATAAAAACATTACCAACCCAAACCAATGTTTTTAGCAAAAACTTTTTTTTAACCAAACTTACTTCTGATCAAGATGTGCCATAATTTTGCCATCAGGAAAAGCTTCTTTGGTGGCATCATAGGCTGCTTTAATTGCTTGTCGCCATGTTCCTCCAATGTCTTCTGCTTTCACTTTTCTCTGTCCTGGATCTTCCATCGGCAAAGAATATCCAGACAATAGATGACCAACCCAACCACCATCTTTCCTAAACAAATTATTCAAGAAGGTTTGCTCAAAGTTCAGTAAATAAATACTTCATACTATTCAAATGCTTCAACTGCTAAAAGAATGTTAGGCTGAAAAAAATTGAGTAACTGGATGATGTCCATATGCCTGGGAACGTAGTGTCCTCCACCAAGTCCAAGCAGAACTTTGTTCTTTTCTGTCCGCCTGCTGGAAAATACATCAAATTTTGAGAATTAATTTTCAAATATAAGTGAATTTATATGAACAGAAAATGAATTGAATAATCACTAAATACATAATTTAATTACTAATGTCTGAACATTCAAAATATCAGACATTTAAACATTACCTGTTCCAAGTCCCAATGGCAGTACCTCCTCCCAGGCCAAGTCCTTCCCAAATTAGCTTTCGAGATCAATAAAACACTATTTTAGGACATTATCACTTTATCAGAAAAAAACTCGTTTTGAGTTTTTCTTAAAACACATTAAAACCCTTTAATAAATACGAGTATATGCTTTCACTCATTAAAAATATTTATACCAAACTTGTAAAAAATCATTCGTACTACTACCACCACAATTTACAAGGAAAATAAATGAATGTAGTAAATGGAGGGGAAATTAGGAAGGAGATTTAATATTGTACCTACATACTCCAAAATGACACATCTATGAAATTAAATCTCCAAAACAACATGTATCGTAAGATTAGCTGCTATATATTACTCCCTCATATATTATTAATTTACCTGACACAAACATCATCATACAACAGAAGACCTAAAGCAAATAAACTGTTTTCACATACTTAGCAGGTCAATATGAACTATACTTAGTACTTACTAAAGCAACAACTTGAGCAGCATCTTCCCTCTTCCAGTACTCCTCTGTGCTCCCTATAAATTTTTTAGCAAATGCAGATATAATATGAAGTTAAAAGTTGTAAGTAATGAACCATGCTCATCTTCTGCATTAATGACAAAATGCAGCAATGTGATGCATACTATTGAAAAAGAAGGAAAAAAAAAAAATGGATAAAATTTGTATAAAGAGATACCCTATATAGGATAAATAACAAAAGTCTGTTCTATAACTTAATATCTTCTCAAGCAGATATGGTATACATCGGATATGGTAGCCATGGATTATCTTAAAGCTTACCTATCTCAATGAACATTGTTGGCTTGGTAGTGATGGGTCCATGATGAGTAGCCTCCAAAGTAATCTACTCACAGCACAAAACAAAGAATTAGACCACAAAATGCAACAATATATTTCAAGGAAATGCACATATGTTGGTTGGTATTTTTAAGCTCAGTAAACCAGTCATAAAATCTGTATCTTTTTTATGTTTAGCCGGATTGATTGCTTGTTGAATTTACTGAGCCCTGAGGACATACTAAGACTCGGAATTCATCCTAGATTGACCATTTTGGTTTGTACTTTTATACTTATCCTATACTGAAGGGCTTAACCGACCCAAATTCGTAAAGGAAAAAAAGCATGAAAATTGCAAATATAAAGAAAAAGATTAAAGCTTCTCAAACAATTAAAAATACCTCAAACTCAGGAAGGAGATTATGGTCATGAGCAATCTTCTTCAAGAGAATCAGCCAAGGACCCATTCTTGGATTGGGCGGGGCGGCCCACCCAGGCCGGCCTCCTTGTGGCGGAACATCACCTTCCTTCAAATGGGGCACTCCTAAATAACAACAAAAATTAATTTCAGATTATATCATACAAGTCGCAACAAGCAATATGTTGAAACATCACTTTAATTGTTAATGTTATTTGCAAATATCGAACTGTGGAAGTATAGTACCGATTGGGTGAATAGTGAGGGCAGGGCGGTTAGAGACAGCGGTGTGTTTACTGAGGAAGATGACCTCGTCTACAGATTCGCCAAAAACCTTATTCCAGCGAAGATCCAAGTCGTCCTCTTCAACAATTCTCTTGTCATGCTGAAGCAATCTGAGGTGCTGGTTAGAGAAGCTTCTAACACCCGGGTCAAGGTTTGGCCCGGGAGTCCACCCGGGCATGGATAGCAGCGCCGTGGCTGGACCATAGGACGCCGGGTCCGTCGTCGTCGCCACCACCAAAGTCACCATTGCTTCGTTTGAGCACGCTGAGCAAAAATTGTGGCACTTAAGGGTGTTGTGAATCGTCCATGGAAATTGAACAAAGAGTGGCCGCTGATTATTGAAAAGTCCAAAAAGTCGAAATCGGAAAAGGTTGGGATGATGAATCATGAGAATGCGTTTGACCGCTCTGCTCCATAACGTTAAAATAAACTGAAAAAGATAGGAGAGTAAGAGATAAAAAAGAAACTGCTACTGCCCAGGATCGAACTGGGGACCTTCAGTGTGTAAGACTGACGTGATAACCACTACACCACAGCAGCTGGTGTTAAAAGTTTCCAGATTGTTATACTTGATATTTCTACAATTACACATACTCGCAATTTCCTTGATCTATGATTACATATTTACACCATACTTGTTTAGATTGTAATTAAGAAATCTAAATCACAAATGATACACCTACATCCTCTATTTTATTTGTGTCCATAAATGAGCTACATTCTTAAACGAGATATCTGTTTGTACAGAAAATTAAGAGTTTTTAAAATGGGTACACCAAAAGGTATATCAATAGAACTTTTCTAAACATTTGTGCATCTTATATACATATTCGCTACAAAACTTTTGTTCGACATGGGGAGTAGTGAAGAAAAAACCTTAATTGTCTCTCATGTTCTCTTTTCTCCTCAATTTTTTCTCCTCTTAAAGATAAAGAAATGATATCTTTAATTAGTGTTTTCAAGTTATTTTCCGGGTATATAAATTTTATACTTGTTTATTGACAATTCTAGTCTTGATTGATTTTTTGGGAGGTTAACCGCAGATATCTGTGATTTTGGGGCCTCAATGACTCAGTTATTCGCCATCCCTTCTGAACCACCATCAAAAAATAACGCTCAATTGAATCTTCTTTCCGGTGTTGGATCAAATCAATGATCTTGGCAATTTCTTCTCAATAGTTGGTCAAATTGAGGATTCTATCTGTTTCTTTCTGGTGGATGAACAAATTAGGTTTTCGATTATTTCCTTATCGGGGATGATGAAACTGATATATATGTTTATTTCCATCGCAGAGCAGTTTTAATACTATTTTTAGTCTTAATTATTGGATTAGCAGCATGAACTTTATGTTGATAGTCTACATCCAAGCGAGATTAGCCAATTATTATGTTGTTTTGGAACTTTCCAGTTCTATATATCATCCTACTATAGTGTTGGGCTATCCGAATTGCTCTTGTACCGATTATTTTTACCATTATATAAGTGTTTTTCAGACTAAGTCGTCGGAGCAAGATAGAGTACATGGAGTGCAAGTTTGATAGAGGTAGAAGCAGTGGTAATATTATCTTGTTGAGAAATATATTGAGTTTTCGTGAGATGAAATATTTCTCTGTTTGTTTGATAGAGGTCACTTTGCTTCTCGAATGCAGTTCTTAGTTCTTATTATTGATAGCTGAGTTCAGTAAAATTGAAATTAAGTCACGTTGAAAAACTTTTAGGAAGTCTTGGGGGCTTATTTTCCAAAACTTGGAAACCTAAGAAGAATTGTCCAATAACCGGCCCTATTATCACACAAGGTTAGTTCTTTCTAATCACCTTCATAAAAGCAAGATGGAATCGATTAAAAAAATGATTGCTTCTTTTGGGATGTCGAAGTAGGTTTCTGTTTTTGCTTGACTGTTTTTGGGATGTGGCAGATGATGTAGTACAGAGAAAGGGTAACCACTTGGAGCAGAGGGAAAAAATGGGGTTGAATTCTGCTCCGAAAGGTCACTCAAACACACAAAGATCCCTTCCCGAACCAACTAATGCATTGCAGAAAGTCAAAGTAAAACTTTTTTACTTGGGGATTTTTCTTGTTATGTGTATTATTATTGTTAATGTTTTCATTATTACTATTCTTTTATTGATATGAGAAGTTCAGCTTTTGTGCTCATAAGTGAGTGTGAACTGGTGTTGATCTCTGTCACAAATGCTGGATTATTACAATAATTTACCAGGATGTTTTAGTTGGGGGATTCGGTTGGCATGTTCGAACTCTTCCTCCAAGCTGAATAATCTCTAGAAATTAAAAGAGCTCATTAACTAAAATAATATTTATTCCGTATACATTTCTAAAGTGAGGAGTGGATTTACCTTTATGTTCATCATAAGTAGTAATTGCATTGAAATCCCCACCAATAAGCCAAGCACCTTGATTATTATCATACCAGCTTGTTAAAAACTCCCAAATATCTCTCCTTTCCCAGACAGTACACTTGCCAAAAATTGAGGTGAGCCAGAAAGAATATGTGCCCAAAGTGACATAACAATGAACACACTGCTCAGCCCAAGTGATATGAGTAATAGATAGCAAATCCGAATTCCAAAAAAGCCAGATTTTGCCATTAGGATGCAGAAAACACTCAGATAGTCCCAGATCCCTTTTAAAAGAGTCACCTTTGTTATTGTCTTCCATAGGTTCAAAAATAGATATTAAATGTATATCCAACTGCCTTATAAGAGTAGAGAGCCTTGGGCAGGAGGAAACAAGGCCTCTTCTATTCTAGAAGAGACAATTCATGAGGAGACAGGAAGAGAAGCTTGAGAAAGCCTTCTGGCTGCATGTCTGGTGATGATGGATGATGCTTCAGAAGGTATTCTAGGTTTCCTTTTCCTCCTAGTAACTTGAATAAATCCATCATTAGGGTCTTTATATGCATAAGTTGATTCATTCTCATGTATGTCCTTATCAGCCTGCAATTTTGCTTCTTGAACTGCCTTCTGTTTAACAATATTAGCAAGTTTAATTTGCATGGATTGAAGCTCCTCTATCCGGACTTCTTTGTCTGATATATGAGGTGGATCTTCTCCATCAGAAGCATATGCCTTAGCCAGAAGTGAGGGATCATATTCCATGTTGCTCTTAATATGGTGTAACGTAGAATCATCTGCAGGTTTATGCACATCAGCTTTAAAAGATGGTACCAGGCCAGGAATGTCCATTCTTAAAAGCTGTGATGCGGGATATGATTTGACTTCCTTTTTCGTTTCTAAATATTTTACTACATTTTCAGGTGACTTTTGATGCATAGGAGTGGAGTTACCAGTTCCAGAGGTACCTGTCCCAGAGGTACCAGCTTCAGAGGAATAAGGATTGGGTTCCATCTCTAATTCTTCCACTTCAGAATCTGACAAATTGTTACATTATACTAGCACGTTGACTACATATATACAGAGTATTAATTATGCAAACTAAAATGAGATATTACTAAATGCAAGTGTGACTCTATGCTGACTGGCAGGTTGCTCCCAAATGCTTTCCTCCTTGAACTTTGTGCCTCATATCGATTAGGTACCTACGCGAAGGACAAAAATCCAACACGCTAAGCAAATCTTGCTTAGTGGTGTTCATTCTTTCTCGATACAATTTCAGTATCAAATATCACACCGTAAATCAACAATTAAAATTGACATCAGAAATATACTAAATTTAAAAATATAAACTTAACCAGATTTGATTTTACCCGTTTGACTAATAAATCTCAAAAGAATCCATTTTGCTCCAAATAGCTATTCAGTAATACAAAAAGGGCTAGATCAGCTCTGAAATTTGAAATTCTTTATAACTGATAAATCACAGCTATTTTCTCTATATCTTAAAATCAAATATTCAAAGTACAATCCTTATTTAGTTATATCAAGAATAGTAAAGATTGATCATATTGATTATTTCAAAACATATAATACGATTCCATTCGATGTAACTAATTCAATATATAGTCCATTCTGTTCGACATAGTTACTTTAATTTATTTTAAAATGCATAATATCATGATTAAAACATTGCTCTTTATTTGAGCTATTAATACCTTGTAATTTTCAAAGTACGTATTAGTTTAAAAGCGTAAAATAATAACTTTATTCAACATAAGTTTATCTCGTTGTCTCTCATATTTAACACTAACTTATTCTAAAATAAACTTTTGATTAGGACAATCTAATCCATTAATTGAATATAAAGTCACATTCTCTTATCGTCTTTCATTGTTATATTCATATCTCTTGCTTCATTCTCGTAATTCTATTTTCCACATTTTCCCTTTCCATTCTCTCTCTGCCTTCATTTTCACATCTTCATATCATAATAAAAACTCACATGAGCAATATCGTAGCTCGCTGAAATTCAATATACCATTCGACATTCTTCTTGTCTCACTTAACTTTTCATTTACTCAATTTTCATCATTTACTCATTTTTATTCTCCGTCATATTTGCCCGTTTCCACACTTTTATTCTTTTATCAAATTTCTGGAATTCTACTCCTTGATTTAATGGACTGGATAAACAGGACGTTCTCATCTTTGGTACTGTCCACTCGGTGGCTACGGACCATCAGAGAACTATTTTGGCACAAACCACTCGGTGGCTCTGGCCGGGTTGGGTTTGTTGGGGTACTGTCCACTTGGTGGCTACGGACCCGTAAACGAACATATTTGGGTACTGTCCACTCGGTGGCTACGGACCCGTATAGGAGTGCGCGTGTATCAAATATCAAGATTTGGGTGCTGTCCACTCGGTGGCTAGGGACCCGAAATCATTGATCAAATTCTACGGCCGTGTTAATTATCCCTATTGGCATGTCAACCTATCCAAATCCAGAAACAAGGTTTTGAATTCCGTTTATTTTTATCCAATTAAATTCACTCTCTCTCATTGCTATTGTTATAAATATTATTTTCAAATTCAAAATAATATCATTATAATCAACTTATTTATTATTTATAAAATATGTTTAGATTGGGTTTATGTACGTAAATACACTCTTGTACGTACTTGTTCATTTCGATCACACACACATATATTTCTATTATGAATTTCTGTAAATGTATTTTGTTTTATTTGAATTGACTCTATTGTAAGTCTCACGTTAATCATTAATAAACATCCGAATAACTACATTTTTTTAACCCGGTAGGCAAACCACCAAAATCAGTGGGGTAAATGCCGGGGAACATTTACCGGATATTATTAGTAAAGCAAAAATTGATTACATAAGGGGGATATAAAACCTAACCCTTCACACAAAGAAGCCCAAAATAGAGCAAAAAAAGAAGAAATTAGAGGAAAACATAAGGGACAGAATCAATATCTAATTTAATCACACCTCCCAACTCTTTGGGTAAAATATCTCCCTTCCTCCAATAAAAAAACTCCATCTAGGCCCATTTTAGCAATGATTTCCCCAACAAGATTAGTTGGGCCCTGAATTACCGAAAAAAATACTGAACCATTGAGCCCACCCATATTTCTGCCCACCCGAAACATCTTCGAGAAGGAGGACTCTATCTCCAAAATAGGAAACCAAAGAGCCTCCCCCCATTCCACCGCTTTGAGCAACACTTCTTCTTCCTTCTTCGTTGTGCCACTCAAAGGGAAACCTTCAGCCGCCACAACAGCCCCTGCATGATCTCGCAACAAGAATCCAGCTGAAGATTTACCATTACCTCTGAAGACCGCCCAATTTAGCTTAACCCGGGATGTCTGCGGTTTCACCCACCTGAAGATCTGAGGACGTTTCCTGGAGAAGGAGAAAGGTATGAGCCCAAGATTCTTTAACCTCTCATTTCCTTTCAGCGTTTCATTTGCATAGCACCAAGATAACATATAGTTTTGAATTTTTCTGAGCAATCGGTCCAAAGAAGGGGTCAAATCTTCCCAAATCGATTCCCAGTAAGCTTTCCACAAATGCCACGCAATGACTCCAGGTAAAGCCATCAAATATGTTGCATCCATCGTTTTTCCTGCTTTAGTAATCCACCATTTAATAAGCTCCAACTTGATAGTGTTAACTGGTCTAGCACCCTGTAACAGCATATTCGAGAAGAACAACCACACAGATTGAGCCAATGGACAAAGGAGGAGAATATGATCTTCAGAAACTCCATCTGCCTTACCGAAAGGGCACATCGTAGGGTAAGGTACTGAGAAAATAGCAAGCTGTTCTGGGAATGGTAGGCACTTATTCCACAGCCTCCATAAAAAGATTTTTATTCTGGGCACTTGTTTAGGGTCCCAGATCTGGTTATTTGAAATAGTCCTCCCCTGTTGTGGCCAAAGTGCCAAATAAGCAGATTTTGTTGTAAAAATCTCGTCAGTTGTATGCTTCCATGTAATAGAATTAGGACCCCTGACTGCCATACCTTCTGCCTTTTCATGAATGAGGCATATTCTTCTCCATGATGGTGAATCAGTAAGTTTGGCCTCTCCCAATTGGCGATTACCATATCTGCTCTGCATCAGATCAGTCCAAATGGATTGACCTTTCTGAAAATCCCACCATAACTTCATAGAAAAAGTTTTTTGAATGTCAGCCAGTGACCTGATTCCTAGTCCCCCATTAGCAGTAGGTTTGCACAGTTTTGATAGTTTAGCCCAATGGTATTTTGGTTTATTGTCCTGGACCCCCCAGAAGAAATTGGCAATCTTCCTATTAATCATGTTTATCACTGCCACAGGGAGCTTTGTTACTGCCAACACATTAATAGGAATTGAGTTGAGCACATGTTGGATTAAAATTAGTCTACCACCTTGCCAAAGCATCTTAGATCTCCAGGCAGACAATTTTTTATCAAATTTATCCAACAACTCTCTGCAATGCTCTAACCGAGTGATCCCCTTGTGAATTTGCACTCCTAGGTATTTGATAGGCAGCTTAGAGGACTTCATACCCAGCTCATTTTCAATATATAAAATCCTCCCCAGAGTAGTATGTTGGCCTGCCACAAAAGTACTTTCTTCTTTATTAACCAATTGTCCTGAGGCTTCTTGATAAGATTGCAGAAACTTATTGAAGTTTTTAATTGATCTAGAAGATCCATTAAAAAAAAACATTAGTCATCCGCAAAAGCTAGGTGTGTAACCGGTGCTCCTCTTCCAATATTATAGCAATCAATAGCCCCCAGATGACTCAGCTTAATCAAACCTCTCGAAAATACTTCAGAAACAATAATAAAGAGTAGAGGCGACAGGGCCCCCCCCTGTTTTACGCCCCTTTTAGGCTGGAAAAAACCGTAGGGTAGCCCATTGATTAGAATTGATATAAATGTACTTTTGAGATTTCCCAGAATCAGATGTCTCACTCTTCAATCAAAGCGAAAATTATCAAGAACTGAATCCAAAAAAAACCCAATCCACCCTATCAAAAGCTTTGGCCATATCTAGCTTCACAACAAGATTTGAACCTCTCACCTTTTTATCAAGATTATGCAACATCTCAAATGCCACCAAAACTTGATTTGAAATATCACGTCCCTTCATGAACCCCAATTGCTCCCTAGATATAATCTTTGGTAGAATAGCAGCCATTCGTCATGCCAGAATCCTTGTATTTATCTTACTAAGAAAAGTAGAAAGACAAATAGGGCAAAAATATCCAAAAGAAATAGGTTTTTTTTCTTAGGAATCAGAATCATATTTACGCAACCTACTCCTTTAGGTACTGAAAAACCCAGAAAAAACTCCTGAACAGCCATTACCACATCCCTCTTGATAATATCCCATCAACCTCTATAAAACCCCCCTCCAAAACCGTCAGGCCCAGGTACTGCTTCCTGGCTGAGACCCCAAACTGCCTCTCTAATTTCATCCTCTCCATGTAGATTAGAAAGCATGTCATTATCAGCCCCATCCAGCACCTTAGGAATATATTGAAGCACTCTCTCAAGGCCATTATTCTGATCTTTAGCATAGAGCGTAGAAAAAAAGTCAACCGCCTCCCATCCAATGTCTTCAGCATCATAACACCATTCACCATTTGACTTTTTAATGGCCTTAAGGTGCTGCCTCCTAATCTTCTCACGAACAGTCTCATGAAAAAATTTCGTGTTGGCGTCTCCTTGCTTAATCCATCTGACATTAGCTTTTTGTCTCCAAAAGATTTCTTGCTGTTTAATCCTCTTTAGAAGTTCAGCTTGTTTAAGATTACAGACTGCCCTATTAGCTTCTGTAGGAAATTCCTCAAACAATTTTTCCGCTGCCAAAGCTTCTACCTCCAATTTTTGAGTGGCTCTAAAAATGTCTCCAAACACCTCCCGGTTCCATATCTTTAAATCAACCTTTAAAGACCTCAATTTAGCACAAAAGCCACGCATACCCCCCCCCCCCCCCCCCCAGTGTTGGATACTCATTCCACTTCTTATACACAAAAGACATAAAATTATCATTGGAGAACCACATATTTTGGAAACGAAACTGCTTGGGGCCCTTCCCCGTAGTTAACTCACACGTAAGAAGAATCGGGCAGTGATCTGAGGGGCTTTTAGTCAAATGTTGAATATGAATAGTATCAAATTTAGAAGTAAAAGTGTGATTAACCAAATATCGATCAAGTCTCTCCCAAATTCTACCATTCGATCTCATGCCTGTCCACGTAAAAGATGACCCAATAGTTGGTAGTTGTAGAAGATCACATGCATCCATGCAATCTTGAAAATCCAGAATATCATTAAGTGGAGGGCTAGACGGCCCTTTATATTCAGCTATAGAGCTAACCACATTAAAATCACCGCCTAAAATCCAAGCACAATCCTCCAACCTCGCAGCTTCAGATAAACCTGCCCAAAGCTGAGTCCTGTCCTGTCGTGTATGAAGCCCATATATTGGGGAGAAAACAAAAGCAAAGTCCAGAGGGGTGTACACCACCCTAACCATAAGAAATTGATCTTTTTCGACAATGGATGAAACCTCAAAGTCACCCTTATTCCACATAAGCCAGATTTTATTAGAAGCAGACATATACAAATTCGAGAAACCAAGAGAACACATAAAATAATTGCCTTTATTTTGATCTACAAGAGGTTCAATAATCGTAACCAAATTCACCAAATAGTGCCTGATAATATCGCGCAGCCTCGGGCACGAAGAAGCAAGGCCACAGAGATTCCATGTGAGCATCTTCATTAAGAAACCTGAGAGGGGGTTTCCGTGTTGATCCTCTTGGCCGCTAACCGAGTAGTGACCGAAAAGGGTGGATAATTCTCTTTGGTTTTTTTCCGTCCCACAATTCCATTTGGCTCTTCTTTGTTTTGAACAAACTGTTTCACCTTGGTATGTAGCTCCTTACAAACTTCCCTTCACGACTCCTTTGCCACCTCCTCTACCACAAAGTTATCCCCATCAGACACAAACCCATCTTGCAAAACAGTTACAGGCTCCTCTCCCAACCGTATGTCTCTTTCCTCAAAATTTATTAGCTTTGTGACATCCGTTGCATGAGACACCAAAGCCAACTTAGATCCCTCAACTGAATTTTCTTCCCCCTCTTCACTATGGGTGTGCTCAGTTTGTACCACTGGTTGCGGGGCCTCCAAAACCTCGGGTACAATTGCTTCCCCCTCTTTAATCTCCTCACCGTCTGTAGTATGCTTGTCCCCAACATGATCCAAAGATAAATTCTCCGGTGTAGCTTCCTCCTGAACTGTTTGTCCAGCTACATCCTCCCCCCTACGTGAAGATTCAGCTGCGTCAGAGGCTACATCCACCTTCTCCTTCCCTTTATGTTTTCTAGAAACCTGGATCCATTGATCCGGAGCTTGAGTAGCCTTCCCGGAGTCCTTTTTTGGTGGAACAACCCGCAGTTGTTTAGTAGGGGCCTCAATCTTCTTAGTATCCTCCCTCCTCTTTGGAATACAACAAACTCCTATTTTGTGACCAATTTTATGGCATTTTATACAATAGTCCAGCAAATCTTCATATGTTACTGTTTGTATAATCTCTTTAGACCCATTCATGATCAACACCTTAGTAGGTATTTCCTGTAATAAATCCAACTCAACACAAACCTTAGCCGTGGAAGGACGAGTAAGGTTAGCAGTCGTAGCATCCACTTTCAATGGTTTCCCGATCATTCCGGCGATTGAGAAGAGAGCCCGTTTGTCTTGCAAATGAATAGGTAGGCCTTCAAACGTAATCCATACCGGAACAATGGGTGATTCCACATCCGGTCGAAATCCGGAGTCCAGCGAGTGACCCTCATTTTAAAACCTCTAATATTCCACCATTGACGATAGGGGTGAGCATAACCCGAACCCACCCGAAAACCCGATCGGGTCTGCCCTCTTATAGCTGATTGGGTCGGTTGACCCGAACCCGAAAACCCGAACCGAAAAGCCCAGCCCATGTTTTAAGGGTTATGGGTTACGGGTAGGGTATTATAAATCCCTACCCGACCCGCTCGAATACCCGAACTACCCATACTATATATACGAATTATTTAACACTAACCCTAACCCTAACACTCCAGCGCCTCCACTCTTCAGTCTTCACTCGCAACTCCCTCTCTCGATCTCTCCTACTGCGAGTCTGCGACTTCTCTCTAACCATCCCTGTCAACTCTCCGTCGTAGGTCCGACCTCTGTAGTCTATTTGTACCTCCGGACTCCGGTGGAAGCTTGTACTCTCGATCTCTCACTCTCCCGGTCTCTCTTACTGAGGTATAAACGTTAAATACCTAAACTGTATGCTTGGTGGTTTGGTGGAAGCATGATCCATAAGTGTGATGTGTTATCTGTTTTAGTGCACTAGATTCGGACCCTGATACCCTTTCTATGAATTAGTTGTATATGAATCTGTTTTGGTGGAAGCTTGAAACCCTAGATTCGGACCCTGATACCCTTTCTATGAACTACCTGTTAATCTATGATGCTTTGGTCATGCATATGATTATATGAATCTATGATTCTGAGATTTTGATATAAATGGTCTCTGAATATGTGCTGCCTCGATGATGCATGTGTGATTCTGAGATTTTTATATAAGTGGCCCCTGAGTAAAGATGATGGTTGATTTATTATGAGTTCTGAGTCTTTTGACAAGTGTTGAAGTTGCCTTTTTCTACTCTAACACTCAAATGAGTAGTTAGAGTGAACTGGTATCTTCTAAGTCTGTAGAGAAGTGAATAAGCCTACTGCTTATATCCTTCTGTAGATCAACTTGATGATTGTTCCAGACTTTAATTTCAATGTATGATGTTGTGTTCAATCTGGAAGCTTGCATTATTGAGTTTTTTTGAACTATAACTTCCTATCATTTATCAGAATGGAAGTTGCCTTTTTCTACTCTAACACTCAAATGAGTAGTTAGAGTGAACTGGTATCTTCTAAGTCTGTAGAGAAGTGAATAAGCCTACTGCTTATATCCTTCTGTAGATCAGCTTGCTGATTGTTCCAGACTTTAATTTCAATGCATGATGTTGTGTTCAATCTGGAAGCTTGCATTATTGAGTTTTTTTGAACTATAACTTCCTATCATTTATCAGAATGGAAGTTGCCTTTTTCTACTCTAACACTCAAATGAGTAGTTAGAGTGAACTGGTATCTTCTAAGTCTGTAGAGAAGTGAATAAGCCTACTGCTTATATCCTTCTGTAGATCAGCTTGCTGATTGTTCCAGACTTTAATTTCAATGTATGATGTTGTGTTCAATCTGGAAGCTTGCATTATTGAGTTTTTTGAACTATAACTTCCTATCATTTATCAGAATGGAAGTTGAATGTATGGATACCATACCTGCATCTGGCTCTCAACCTCCTTTGACTCCTGTTTCCCAAGAACCTATGATGGAAGCTCATGATGCTGGGGCTAACACCAGCACACAACAGACTAATGTTCCTGGAAATAAGAGAAAGGAGGTAGAGTCCAGATCTAGAATATGGGATCAATTTGAAAAGATCAAAGATAGTAATGGTGTTGTTGTCAAAGGAAAATGCATACATTGTGCTAAAATATATTGTTGTCAGTCTAAGAAGCATGACACTTCCTCTCTTAGAAATCACATACTGAGTTGTCTGAAATTGCCTGCCTCAAAGGATGCTAGGCAAGCCCTTCTCACTTTCCAACCAGTCTTGTGTAATCCAACATCTGAAAAAATTGGGGTGTTAGGGACTTGGGTGTTTGATCAGGTTGCAATTAGGAGAGCACTTGCTGAAATGCTTATCATTGATGAGCTGTCATTTAGATTTGTGGACAGACAAGGATTTAGGAAGTTTATCTCTGTAGCTTGTCCTAGGTTCCAAATTCCTTCCAGATGGACAATTGCTAGAGATATCTACCAAATCTTCTTAGATGAGAAATTAAGTCTGAAAAGGTTGTTTAGGGAACACACTCAGAGGGTCAGTATAACAACTGACACATGGACCTCTGTACAAAGGATCAATTACATGTGTATAACTGCACATTTCATTGATAATGAGTGGAAGCTGAATAAAAAAATAATTTTCTTTGTTCCTGTGACTTCCCACAAAGGAGAGTACTTAGCTAAAGCCCTAGAGTCTTGCCTAGTAGATTGGGGTTTGAAATCTATCTTCACTGTAACTGTTGACAATGCAAGCAGTAATGACACTGCAATTGGTTTTTTAAAAAGAAACTTTTATCTTGGGGTGCCTCTTCTGTAAAAGTTAAGTACCTTCATATGAGGTGTATTGCTCATGTGACACCTTAAAAAAAAATAGATAAAATTTATCTGCCAAAAATAAAACAAATATAAAATATCTGATTAAAATAGACCAGATATAAATTATCTGGTAAAATAAACATAACAAATAATACTTCATAAAGTAATTAATAAAGATGAGTTAGTGCATAGCAATAAACCTATGTCCATATACATATCACATATATATATCTATATATATCTATGTAAATCTATGTAAATAATAAAGTAACGTATTACGTAATACACACTCGTACTTTATAATGTGGAGTCCAAGCATGCATCACACACATATCACATCACATACATAATACATGCATGTATAGCATCATTGGTACGATGCATGGCGTGCGGTATGGGTATGAGTCATACCTACGGGCTGCGGTTATAGGCTTGTAGCTATTGTTGAAGAGAGAGAAAAAAACGGACTGATCCATCATAATGAGCGAATTAAAAACTACAAACGGCTGAATGCGTACAAGCGTACAGATGGGCGAAGGCTATTGTATATGTATATATATATCCTACGACTCAATAATCTGCGCTGCAACACCCTTGGTGAACCACAAACTGTTGTTGCTATATTTACTACTATATCACGCGATTCACGCACGCAAGAAAGAAAGATAAAGTGAGTGAGAAAAAGAGAAAAAGAGAGAAAGAAAGAGCTGAGGAAGGAGAGAACGAGACGGAGAAACGGGCGCTGCCGGAGGGGAAGAAAATCGTCGAAGTTAGCCGGACTGTCCTTCACGCCGGAGATAAAGGAAAGGGCTGTAATTGCTCCGTCGTCGGACTAGGCCGCTGCCTTCGAAAGTGACTGTCGCCGATATACTACCGCTGCGCGCAGTTCCACTCGCCGTCGTCGTGGAGGTAAGCCCCGTGTTGTGCCCCTGCGTTTAGCCATTTCCGTCGATCTTGCGAAGAAGACGACCCACCCAGCCTAACGGTTGGGGTCTGTTTTGCCGGACTGACTGTGTTGGGCCGGTAGATTAGAATCAAATGTTGAACTGTTTTTTTTTCTCTTTTTATTAGTCTTCGGACTGGATCCTTAATTAAAATTACTGGACTGGTTATTAATCCTATAATAATACTAGTTTGAGCCAGCCTTTCACTTTCAGTCGGTATTAATAAAAAGGAATACTGATGATATTAGGTTGGACGAAAATGAATCAGTTAGGCCGTATGAATTAGTAGACTGTTAATAAGAAACTGGACAATCCTACTATTGATTTTTATGATCTTATAATAATACGGATAATAATAATAGTAATAATAACCTGCAGGAATAATATTACTATGTAATAATAAGGAAATTCAGTTGTCAACATATTGGATTTACTTAACTAGTCACTTTTTAGTTCCGATACTAATTTCATTATAGCATAACATAACAAAATAAAAGTAGTTACATTCTAGACTAATTATTTAATCAAATTAATAAACAAACTATTTCGGTTGATGATTATTGGACTGTTTACCTTTTTATAGATTGGATTAAAATGGAATAGTGGATGATACGGACTAGTTAGATATCATTTCTGGACCAAACTAAGTAATAGGTACATTCATAGAGGTTTCTAAAATAAAGTGGTGATTAATAAAAGTGGTTAACTAATAACCTAAATTCGAATGATGGTTAAATTATTAAGAATAAAATAAGTGACTAATTATATCATCTTAATTAAAAAGGTGAATATTTAGAGACCAGAATTGAGGAAGAGAATTAGGAGCATCGGATTTAAGGTAAGTTTCTTTGCCAATCCAAAATTGTTTCCTCGTATTATATGCTTATTATGCATTATTTGATTAAGTGTGAATTTTGAATGTGTACCATTTGGGGTGAATAAGGATTTGAGAAATGTTGAAGATATATTTTGGGATTTAATCCCTAGTATGATTTTGGAGTGAATTTTTATGCAAAAGAATTTTGGAGTATTTATGAATGTGGATTTTTGGTGGACGTATCCATTAAATGGATATTTTGGAAAACTACGTATAGAGAAATGATTTTCCAAGAATGAATAATGTTTTTATAATGATTATTGACATCTCGAGAGAAACACGAGGTGTGGGTGGTTAGAGCTATATACCGCGGGTTTAGTTTAGGTTTATGATGATTATGGGTGGCGGGAGAAATCCCGGTAAATATTGGTGGCGGGAGATTCCCGGTATTTCTTTTGAGAACTTTAAAAGTTCTTTGGTGGCCGCGGCAGTAGTTTCTAATCACCCGGGTTTCTAACCCATTATATTGTGAGGTAGGGGGACGTTGTTCGAACTACTTGGACTTCTTACTACTCGGAGGGCTTGGAATCCCTTTTAGGGGGTGTGCACACTTAAGGGTGAAGTTCAGTTTCCAATTGGTGGTCGGTGGGAGCCGGAATTCCGGGATGAGTCGTACACAACAACGATTCATTGGACTCGAGGAATCTTGAGTTTCGCCCATCTTAAAAGAATCTAAGAGTGACATTGATTTTGGAATGGTGGTATTTTTAGCTTGCAAAAGTTATATTTTGAAAAGTGATACTTTTATTTGAGATGTTAATTGCTTGGAGCTTATAAGTATTTTTTTTAACTAAGGGTATTTGAGATTATAAAATTGATAAATGATATTTTTGTTTTGAAATGAATTTTGGTGGTGTGAGTATTTTTATATAGTATTATATGAAAAACTATTTTCGCCAAACGTGATTATTTTACGGGGTTGGGTAGTACTTACTTAGCTCTAAAGTTAATTTTTGTTTCCTTTTCTTTGTTTTGTTTTCTGCACTTTATTTGTGCAGGTAATGATGAATATGAAGCTCTTGATGTTTGACGAGCCTTGAGAGCGCTTTAGAAGATTAAGTGTAGTCTTCACTTGGTTTAAATTATGTTATTAAATTTTAAATTTAAGTTATTAATTCGGTTGAACTCATGGTGGATAGCCTTAACATCCAGCCAAGTTGAGGGCTGGGTGTGGCGGTAACACACCCTTTTTCCATTATTGTTATTTCCGCTGCAAAACTCTATCTATTTTTAAGGAATAAATCAATGTTATTATCAATATATTATTTCTAAGTATTATTTTTGGAGGGAAAAATAGGGGTGTTACAGCTCATATCCTTAATTTGGCTGTCCAAGATGGTTTAAAAGAAAGTGATTCTTCTGTTCAAAGAGTGAGGGATGCTGTTAAGTATGTTGGAAATTCTCCTGCTAGACTTCAAAAATTCAAGGACATTTCAGACTTGATTGGAATGGAAACTAAAGCTGGATTGCACCTAGATGTCCCAACTAGGTGGAATTCAACCTATTTGATGCTCAAATCTGCAATGTCCAATGAAAAAGTGTTTGAAGCTTATGAGGAGAATGAGAGTTCCTATCTTGTTGATCTGGGGAGTGAGAGTCCTGATGTTGGGGACTGGATTGCAATTGAAACTTTGGTGGTCATTCTTAAAAATTTCTATGATATGACAGTTAGGATTTCAGGCTCTCTTTATGTCACTGCAAATACCTTCTTCTCTGAAATATCTGATCTGTTCCTTGTTCTCAAAGAGATGGTTGCTTCTGAAACTGAATCTGTATCTAATATGGGGACTAGTATGAAATCCAAACTGGACAAGTACTGGGGTGATCCAGAAAAAATGAACATGCTCATTTTCTTTGCAAATGTGCTAGACCCTAGAGACAAATATGAGTACATGCCACATCAATTGAATGCTTTGTATGGCGATAAGATAGGTGAGACATTCTTTGCAAAGATAAAGCTGGGTTTGAATGAGTTGTATGGTGATTATGTTACAAACTATGATGTTTCAGTGAGTGGAAGCTCTCAATTAAGCCCCAGTTCTGTTTCTTTACAATCTGAGTCAACTGAAAGTAGGCCTGTCTCAAAATTCAAAGCCCAATTGAAAAAGCAAAAACAAGATAGTGGCCTCTTAGGGTTGAAAAAAAATGAACTTGAACTATATTTGAGTGAGAACATTCTTGAGGAGGACAATGAATTTGATATACTGAGATGGTGGAAGCTTAATGGTGAGAGGCTTCCTATCCTATCTAAGATGGCAAGAGACATTCTTGCTGTTCCTATTTCCACAGTAGCATCTGAGTCCACTTTTAGTACAAGTGGAAGAGTGTTGGACTGTTTTAAGAGTTCTTTGAGTGCCAAAATTGTAGAAGCACTCATATGTGCTCAAGATTGGTTGAGGATGTCAAACCAGCCTGTGTCAGTTGAAGAAAATATTGAGGAGGTAGAAAGGCTGGAAACAGGTACTAACTTTTACTTATATAATATTCAGTGTTTATATTTATACATATTGTTAAATTCTTATTGTTTTCAATGCAGAATTAACTGATGGAAATGTTGGAGGCTCTTCTCTTGATCAGATAGTAGTATACTTTTTACCTTTATCTTTTAGATATGTAATATATTATATTATTATTTCACTAATGATTTGCTATATATGCTTCTGTCAATGATCTGGTTGTAAAAGCCTAACCATGTTGCTGTCATGGCATTGGAAGTGTTGTTGATTCATTGGTACAATTTCTCCTAATTACTGTGTTTGTACTTTGCACAACAAGACATGGTAATCTTCTTTCACTCTTGAGTTAATTGATTAAGTGTAGCATGTATCTGGCAATGATGATAGCTTCCACCAAAAATGAAATTGATGGGTTGGTGTTGATTCTATTTCCATATAGTTTCGTATGCCCCCATTAATAGTGAAGTCAATTTAAATCTGAGCCAAATATAACAACATACATGCTGCCTTAATGGAAGTACTGGAATTTGGTAATGTGAACATTGAGTTAATTGATTAAGTGTAGCATGTATCTGGCAATGATGATAGCTTCCACCAAAAATGAAATTGATGGGTTGGTGTTGATTCTATTTCCATATAGTTTCGTATGCCCCCATTAATAGTGAAGTCAATTTAAATCTGAGCCAAATATAACAACATACATGTTGCCACTTAGACAGTAAACTGGAATTTGCTTATGCATATGTATTTATGACTTCTGACTTATTAGATTAATTGTTGCATTATTTAATCAGTAATGATAGTTTCCACCAAAAAATTAAATTAAGAATACAAAACTGAGTCAAATTAAGGATATGTTGCTTCCTGCCTTGGTTTTACTACTGCAATTTTCCTATGTACTTATGAATTATGAGTTCTTACATGAATTGTTTACTCAATTAGTTATTTTGGCAATGAGGATGGCTTCTAGCCTTCTACAGTTCTACAAGAAAATAAAATAAATGGGTTTGGTGTTGATTCTAATTATATAGTGATTAATGCCCCCATTATTAGTGAACTGAAATTAAATCTGAGCCAAATCTTATTGTATTTCTATATACTTTTGAATTGTTTATAGTTCCCACTTCCCAAGTTCCCAGAAAATAATAATGATAATAATGACACTAAACACTTCCCAGTTTAGTGTTTTATGATACTAATGTGTTTGTGACTTACATAGGAACAAAATCAATGACTGTTCGGTTGATGATCTGCGAAATTGATGAAACCTGGAATTCTGGAAACACTCTAGTAGACTAGTAGTCAAGTAGATGTCAAGAGTCAAGATCTGAAGACTTGTACATCAATTGAATGTTGTTAAACTTTTTGTTGGTACTTGCTGTTTTGGAACATTTGATTGCTCAAACTCTAAATGTTAAACTGCTTTGTGCATAAGCAGTATAACTGTGTAAGTGTATAAGTAAGTACCAAGTAGTATTGGAGTAATGTGTATGAATGTATGAGTGTATAAGTGTTAAGTGTATAAGTTATAAACTTATAACTATTAGCCATGTGTTTGGAGTTGTACAAACTCTACTAATTTTGCAATTGCTTTTGATAACATATTATTATGTATTTTATTTGTGTTTGTAAAGTCTAATCCAACATTTTTTTTTCAAGGTGATTTTATGAATTATTTGTGTTATGTGTTTAATGGATTTTAATCAGCCCGAATGGCCCCGAGAACCGATTAAAACCGACCCAAATCCAAAATTGTGCAACCCGATTAGCCCGAAATATTTTTTGGACGGGGTAGGGTTTTATATTCTCAGCCCGATAACCGAAAGGGTATGCAAAAACCCAACCCGTCCTACCCGAACCCGTCCGACGCTCTCCCCTAATTGACGAAGCCAACACCTTTGAAAATCCTCTTCCAAAGAAAATTTCATGAGAATATGTTGTTGATCAAGAAGCCCTAGCGTGAGAGGTCCCTTGAAGCCGATCTTGTCAAACTCTTGACGCAAAGTAAGCATTGGTGGCCTTCCCCTAACAAAAGACCCGACCAAAGCAAATTTGTGTTGGGCAGCAAGGGTTGTTACTTCTGCATCTGAAAAGCTCACTGCCGGCATACCTCGATGCCTAAAGAGCGCTTTCAAGGGAATCTCTTTATCTGCTGCCAGCACCTCCGCAAAAGAACGTTGTGTCGCCCTCGATCCGCCGGCCAGAGCGGCCCATGCAGACGACGTCGCCATCCGAATAACTACATGTACGTACGCATGCATAAAAACTAAGTCATTAAATAAATTTGAATTCATCTTATTATGTTCTATAATTAAATCTTGAATCCAGGCCATAATCTTACGTATGTTCATTTTGAATGGAATTTAACTTACATTGTATCATCAATTTCCGAATTCAATTATCATAAAATCACACACATGCTTTTGATTTCTGCACTAATTAATATAAATATAAGTAATTGCCCCATATAGGACTAAAAGAGAAGAGAAAATCTCAAATAGGACCATGTATGATTTTTTCCCTAAATAAGACTATTTTACTCCTATTTGAAAACATCCGTATTTTTCATTCCATTATTACCCCCTTATCTCTTTTACGCTTTCCCTGCGCACAACCGCTTCCCCATTCCCCCTTCTTCCTGCGCACATCTTTCCCTTTCTTCCCTGCGCTCATCGATCGACTTCACCCTAACCATCGCCGCCGCCGTCGACTTCGCCTTGCCCACTAGATCGATCGACTTCTCTTTCACGCCGCCGCTGCTGTCGATTTTACTGTGCGCCGCTGTCATTAAGGTTCTCCTCCTCCTCCTCCTCCTCCTCCTCCTCCTCCTCCTCCTCCTCCTCCTCCTCCTCCTCCTCCTCCTCCTCCTCCTCCTCCTCCTCCTCCTCCTCCTCCTCCTCCTCCTCTTCTTCTTCTTCTTCTTCTTCTTCTTCTTCTTCTTCTTCTTCTTCTTCTTCTTCTTCTTCTTCTTCTTCTTCTTCTTCTTCTTCTTCTTCTTCTTCTTCTTCTTCTTCTTCTTCTTCTTCTTCTTCTTCTTCTTCTTCTTCTTCTTCTTCTTCTTCTTCGATTTTCCTCTGTTTTTCTAGATTTTGAATTGATTTTTCCAATTTCGAACTTCTATTTTGATTTTCTAGTTTCTGGTTTGAGTTTTAAGAAAAAATCTGATTTTCATACATTTTGGATGATTGCTTCATATTTGGCCAAGTTTATGGCAGAAATTTGTACATTGACATCATGTTATGGCAGAAAGAGTCTTGTATAAATTGGTTTTTCTGTTTTTTTTGTCAATAGCTTCGTTTTTCTACTTTCCGATTGTGCTAAAAAATTATTCCATCAAAAAAAAATAGTTGTTTGAATATTTGGTTATTTACTACATGTTTTTTCAATTTTTGCCAAATTTATGGCAGTTTTGTGTTAATATTCCAACATGAATCTGCCATCTCTTTGGCAGATCTGAAACTCTTGAGTATGACAGATGTGAATCGAATCCCGACTCTAAATCTGCCAACATAATGGCAAATTTATTCTGTCTAAGTTGTTACGGTGGTGGTGGTGCTCAGCGGATGGTGGTGGTTGTGGATGACGACGCCGGTCAGATGGCGACGCCGGTGCGGGAAGCGGCGGCGGCGGCAAGTGGCACCGTCATTGGCGAGGGCGGCGGCAGAAAGCGCCGACGAGGGCGGCGACAGGATGCGCCGGCAAGGGGCGGCGGCAGGCCATTTGGATCTGGAGGTGGTAGTGATACTCCTAGGGTTTCAATAGTTTTTAGTTTAAATTTTTGAAATTAA